GGATTATTTACGAACCACCGTCATATAGCTGGTATATTGCTGAGTGCGGCGTTAAACAACAAACAATCAAACAAAATCTATATAATTATTAAACACCTTCCAACAATGAGAAATTAAACTTATATTTTCTAAATATTCTGTTATATTTATAACATAATTTGATTCATAATTTAATTATGACGTTGCTTTCTTCCCTGTCATTCAATGTGCATGTTAAAACCCCTAAACTTTTAATATTTCATTTTTCATAAATGGCTACGTTAGTGCGTTGCCTAGATCTCTCGTTACCTATTCACAAGAATAGATTAAAATAATTTGTTTTACTATCATATTTCTGTTTATCTAATTCATAATACGAAATTGATAATTCATTTATAATAGTATAGATCATATTCGTGTATATCACTATCTGATGCTAAGGTTTTATTTCAGAAAATATAATTAATTCAAAATGTAGAAAGATACACAATTTGCCATTATTTGAAAGTATGATATAATGATCAGAATGCCTGTAACGGGTAGTATTTAAGAAAGAAATATTTGTCGAGAAGTCCAATTTTTCAGATATGCCCTTCAGTAGTAGTATTGCATATCTCCAGAGAGAGGTTTACATTGTAGTTCTCATTATTTGTGGATAATTCAAAAAGCAACATAGAAAATATATATGCTACCATGACGAAAGAATACAGAGTATACATAACTCGCAATTCTATATATTCAGCAAACAGCCCCAAACCGAAACTCCACAACATATCCGATTACACTGATTAAGGCTGTCCCAGTTCTCCATGCGATACTGACGCCCGTTCGTCTCCCAGACCATACAGAATAAATTTAAAAAGAATCTAGCTCAAGTCTAGAACGATTTGGCAAGCCTAGATTGCCTTAATTCTATCCATGAAAGTAAGCATTAATAAAAAAATATTGTTCTTGTCTGCTTCAGATTATATTTTGTAGATACTTATTTTAACTAGGAAAATTGTACTGACACCGGCGCTGTCCCTATTGAAGCTATCCATAAGAATTTCGAATTACCGTCCATTGTTCGATGTCAATACATCGATGACAAATGAGGATATCATAAAGTAATCGTTGATGCCGTGCTACACTGTAATAAAAATTATAATCAAGTTGACTGGTGTGTACATTACTACAGTGAACATGTACATGATCATGCCCTAATAATCAAATGCCGTAATGTCAAATACTAATTTATTATTGTGTGATGAATTTAACTGGATCAGTGGTAACATTTGATATTAATATTCCATCAATTTCTTTCCTGGCGGGTCCATCCATGTCTTCAAAATGAAAATAATACAATTAAAATGGAGCATAGAACAATTCTTAATTTCAGGCTAGAGCTGTGGAAATCTAGACCTTCCAAATCATTATAGACTTGAGTTGGTCTCATGTTTTACATTATTCTCTTGGGTCAACGTCACAGCTCATACCATACACTAACAAGACCAGCTTGCCCCCCCGCCGGAGCTCCCGGATTTTGGTTATATCATCTAACATGGCCAACTCTGCTCTTAAGTAAACAAGAACCTAATCAGCGAGGGGTCCTTTATCATCCCTATGTGGCTGCTTATACAAATCTGATATCTTTTCCCAAAGACCTGGTTAATAATATATTTTCTGCTGAATATTCGAAACAAATAGAGTGAGTTGGTACTACATGTACATATGTATACGGTTCTATTTTAAATGACTGCAGCGCTCCATTATGAAAACAATTTGTTTTAACGCCGCTCGCAGCAGTATTCCAGTGATAAATGACGGCGGTCTGTTGTATATGAAATATATGCAAATTGAATCTTGAATCTTGAAAGTTGTAACATTTCCGCAAATAAGTATCACATGCAGTATACAGTATATCAACTGCAATATACTGTATACATCAGTATACAGTGTGTCGCGAGCTCTGCGCTGGGCTGGAGCACACATTTCCTACACCTCTCCCTTCGGCAAACACATCACGAGGGTTGCAACGAGGTCACAGGTCAGGCGTGCACTCGTCAGTTGTCTAATACGGTCAAGAGTAAGATCTTCCGGAAGACCACTGCACTGGAGGTATGTGGATTATTGAGGAGGTACTACGTGTTTGGAACTGGGAGTTGAACACTAAGCACTTTTAGAGAAGAGCTCACAATAAAACGTTATGTACTCGCGGACGGACTTGTGTTTTCATTTCAAGACGTACATTTATCAGGTTGAACTTCCTAACTGTAACAATAACTGAACTTTACGCCTTTTATACACATTTGTGATGGGGCGACAATGCGACAACGAGACATATTTTGACCTTGAAAATGTCGCGTTACGGCATCGTCGCCCTTTTGTAAAATAAAGAAAAGGATTATCAAAGAGCGACAATGCGAACACGCGACAATGCGACAAATGGCCAATTGTCGCGCTTTTGTTAATTTTGACACGTTTTGCTTGTTTTTGTAAAGGCGTCAATGCGACAATGCGTCAACGAGACAATGTCCCTTCCATAGTAATCCGTGCAAATAAAACTGAGTAATGAAATAGAAGTCTGACATGCCAGTTAAAAGATAGAGTGTTGCAGCTTCTGATTTCATAGATCTTCAAGAAGGGTTATCAATAATGGGATGGGTGATGAGTTCAACTACATACGCTGTGATTAACAATAATGCTCCGAGTCAATACATTTTGTCAAATGTATGACATGTATTACGTGAATGAACATAGTGTTTATACTCGTCCATGTTTTTGACGGACAAAATAATTTACATGCTCGGTAAAACTGAGGACGGGCATCATTGTGTGTTTCCGTGCTTTGTTCAGGTGAACAATTGACTTGTCCTTGCATGTGTTTGTGACGGGTGTCACTTGTGTGGCAGGATACGCTCACCTTTTCCCGAACACCCATTGGATGACCTGAACCACTTCGGATTTTTATCCCACATCAGTCTGATACACCATGATATAACTGAAATACTGAAATACTGTACAGTTGAAAATGATGTTTAATGCGATTACCGTAGTGTGTTACTGCAACTGTTCATATTTTGTGCAGTGATGTTATGTAATATGTAAAAGAAAGCATATTCAATTATCCAATTGATTTGAATAGAATAAACTTGCGTCAGTGTATTTTATTAACGCCCCAAATCTTAATTTAAACACATAAAATAACAGATCACGCATGGTGCCTTGACTTACTATTAGATTTAATGGGCCACCCCGGAATAAAATAGTTCCCCCCAAAGCGAGGAACATGTTTTAGTATGTTTACAAGAAATATATTCCAAACAATATCCTCATTAGATGAGAAGATCTTTTACAGAATTACCTCAGTAAGTCAATTACAATGACAGAGCGTCGTAATACATTTACATCAAGTACAATACGTCAAAATGGCCGACACGATAAACGTGACGGGAGATATTTTCGAAGTTGTTAATTAACCTGTGGCTATTTCAAGCCTTTGGCATCACTGATCAATTGGCCGATCATTGAAAGGTGATTGTGAAGATGTGTCAAATAGATACTAAGGTAAATTCATAGATTTCTGTAAATTGTCACTGCGACAGTTTGGATTTTTTTTCGTGTTTTTTCTCTCTGGGATGGGTTGTAGCGAGGGTATCCTTAAATGGGCTTGCAACCACGCTTCTGTATGAATTCGTACCAGGGAATTCCAAGGGTTTTCCCAAGGAATGTGGAAGTAGTCAGTGTTTACGCCTTTTCAAGAATACAGTCACGTGAAGAACGTCATGTGACCGACCTCGCGTCCAAGTCGTATATCTTGTAAACTTCACATTAAAAAAATAGTTATTGTTATAACCAAATGAAACACAACCCATTATCCGATAGGGGTAACTGTACATAGCCGTTACCACAATAAACTTAGTAACATTGTTTGGTTTGACTTCTTGGCGCGTGTCTGAATTCCATTAACATGTAACATATCCTAAAACTAGCTTATCAGCAAATCTCGCTGCACTGCGCGCGACAGATACTAGAGCAAGGCATGCCAGAAATACGAAACCTAAAGCTTCCGAAAGGAAGCCTTGGACATCACGTGCGTCGGGGGACCAGCGCCATCTGATTGGCCGTTAACAGTTGTACAAGGCGGAGCAAAAAGCATCGTTTTTCCGTCCATTTTACGCTTGAAAAACTCGACCCTTTTCTGGACACTTTCTAGACGCTGACCAATTAATCAATTTTAATGAATTTTTAGTCGTTTTTCCGTCCAATGACCATATACGGAAAAAAACGACGTTTTCGTGTTTGCAGTGTTATTATTATGTACATAAACATAGCTGTTTTTTTTATTGTTGTTTTGATAACTTTCTTCCAGGCTTATTTGCATAATGCCTATAGCCTGTTTCTGCCATGTCAATTTGGACTTTGTATTGAGCACTGAGATAAAACTAGCAAATCCAGACTAGTACTTTTCCAGTTGTTTTGTTTTTTCGTATTTACATCTACGTAATGCTTTGTGTCGATTATTAAATCCAGCAAAATAGTGTGTGTTTTTTTATTTCCATGAGTACTTTAGTAATTTCTCTTTTGATACATTACGTTTCCGCGTATTGTAGTGCGTATTATACACCCATACATCCCCAGTATTCCATGCTTGTCGTCCCAGGTTTGGTAAGTAGCGTGTCAGCTTACCCGAAGGCGTGGAGAGTTACTCTTGACATCAATAGCTTCCAAATTATTGTCTGGTTCGGAACCGATTATTTAAAGACCGCCGTCATTTTATGAAACAGTGCTGCGAGCACACTCAAACCTATGAGTGAGTGAGTATGGTGTTACGCCGATTTTAGCAATATTCCAGCAATATCGCGGCGGGGGACACAATAAATGGACTTCACACATTTTACCATAAGTATCGAACCCTTTAATTACAAGGCTACCCCCCACCGTCCCTCAAGCCTATGAAGCTGCACGTTCGGTACATATGAAAAAAGAAGTGTTGTTCACGTTTGCCCAGTTGTATACAAGAATTCATAATGCACACTTACATATTTCCTGTCCAGTGCCCTCTTTGACCATGTCAGTACACATCTGTCTGATGGCCTCCGGACTCTGGGTTGGGGTCGAGGCCTGACCACACTGACACACCAACTCCCGACCCCCCGCGAAGTGTACTAGGACTCCCACGCCGACAGCAATGGCCACACCCAACAGCAGCAATATGAAGCCATGGACTGCTGACACAAAGCACCCGGAGCTTCTGCCCCCTGACGAACTGCTCTCAGAGTCCAGAGAAAAACTGTTCTTGAACGCCATGTTGTGCGGCGCCCTGATTAACTCCTAAATACCCTACCCTGGGTGTCCCTCGTCGTTGGACAGTGGTTTAGATTTTGGACGAGCGTGAGCGTTAATATATCGGCTGTGAATTATGGGTACTTCAGTCACGGAGGACACGCTTGTAAATACATGGTTACCGTTATATTTACCTTATTCGCATATGTGTCGGGGTCACGGAGGGCCCCATTGTATAACGCACCGCAATTCGCTGTGCACCATATAACGTCATGAATTATTCAACATTACAGAAGTTCAGGGATGTGTGTGATTGGCTGAATGGGACGTCATGACATGGACGCCTGTATGATGACACACATATGTAATGAGAAGATGTGTGTGTGTGTGATTGGCTGAATTGGACGTCATGACATGGACGCATGTATGGTGATACACATATGTAATGAGAAGATGTGTGTGATTGGCTGAATGTGACGTCATGACATGGACGCCTGTATGATGACACACATATGTAATGAGAAGATGTGTGTGTGTGTGATTGGCTGAATGGGACGTCATGACATGGACGCATGTATGGTGATACACATATGTAATGAGAAGATGTGTGTGATTGGCTGAATGTGACGTCATGACATGGACGCCTGTATGGTGATACACATATGTAATGAGAAGATGTGTGTGATTGGCTGAATGGGACGTCATGACATGGACGCCTGTATGGTGATACACATATGTAATGAGAAGATGTGTGGGTGATTGGCTGAATTGGACGTCATGACATAGACGTCTGTATGGTGATACACATATGTAATGAGAAGATGTGTGTGTGATTGGCTGAATGGGACGTCATGACATGGACGCCTGTATGATGATACACATATGTAATGAGAAGATGTGTGGGTGATTGGCTGAATTGGACGTCATGACATAGACGCCTGTATGGTGATACACATATGTAATGAGAAGATGTGTGTGTGATTGGCTGAATGTGACGTCATGACATGGACGCCTGTATGGTGATACACATATGTAATGAGAAGATGTGTGGGTGATTGGCTGAATGTGACGTCATGACATGGACGCCTGTATGATGATACGCATATGTAATGAGAAGATGTGTGGGTGATTGGCTGAATGTGACGTCATGACATAGACGTCTGTATGGTGATACACATATGTAATGAGAAGATGTGTGTGTGTGATTGGCTGAATGTGACGTCATGACATGGACGCCTGTATGGTGATACACATATGTAATGAGAAGATGTGTGGGTGATTGGCTGAATGGGACGTCATGACATGGATGCCTGTATGGTGATACACATATGTAATGAGAAGATGTGTGTGATTGGCTGAATGTGACGTTATGACATGGACGCCTGTATGGTGATACACATATGAAGTGAGAAGATGTGTGTGTGATTGGCTGAATGGGACGTCATGACATAGACGCCTTTATGGTGATACACATATGTAATGAGAAGATGTGTGTGTGATTGGCTGAATGGGACGTCATGACATGGACGCCTGTATGGTGATACACATATGTAATGAGAAGATGTGTGTGTGATTGGCTGAATTGGACGTCATGACATGGACGCCTGTATGATGATACACATATGTAATGAGAAGATGTGTGTGTGATTGGCTGAATGGGACGTCATGACATAGACGCCTGTATGGTGATACACATATGTAATGAGAAGATGTGTGTGATTGGCTGAATGGGACGTCATGACATGGACGCCTGTATGATGATACGCATATGTAATGAGAAGATGTGTGTGTGATTGGCTGAATGGGACGTCATGACATGGACGCCTGTATGGTGATACACATATGTAATGAGAAGATGTGTGGGTGATTGGCTGAATGGGACGTCATGACATGGACGCCTGTATGGTGATACATATATGTAATGAGAAGATGTGTGTGTGATTGGCTGAATGGGACGTCATGACATGGACGCCTGTATGGTGATACACATATGTAATGAGAAGATGTGTGTGATTGGCTGAATGGGACGTCATGACATGGACGCCTGTATGGTGATACACATATGTAATGAGAAGATGTGTGTGATTGGCTGAATGGGACATCATGACATGAACGCCTGTATGGTGATACACATAAGTAATGAGAAGATGTGTGTGATTGGCTGAATGGGATGTCATGACATGGACGCCTGTATGATGATACACATATGTAATGAGAAGATGTGTGTGATTGGCTGAATGGGATGTCATGACATGGACGCCTGTATGGTGATACACATATGTAATGAGAAGATGTGTGTGATTGGCTGAATTGGACGTCTTGACATGGACGCCTGTATGATGATACACATATGTAATGAGAAGATGTGTGTGATTGGCTGAATGGGATGTCATGACATGAACGCCTATAATGAGAAGATGTATAAGTGGAACCGTTATTCGGACAGCTTCGTCAATTGGAGCTAGTGTTCAAGTAAATGCAAATAGGAAAGGCTAAACCACAACCATAAATGACTTATTCATTCATTCATTCATTCATTCATTCATTCATTCATTCGGCTTTCTCTCTTTCTTCATTCATTCATTCACTCGTTCGTTCGTTCGTTCGTTCGTTCGTTCGTTCGTTCGTTCGTTCGTTAGTCTTTCTTTCTGTTTTCGTTCTTACAATCTTTCATTCATTCATCCATTCATTGGTTTCACCAAAGTGATAAGCGTCTGAAACCTGCATCACTTCAGGCTTTCCTCACACTTCAAGCAGACACCTCTGATATTACTATAATACTGTTCAAAACGGCGCTAAACCCCACTCACTCACTCATGAGACACAACATTTACATACATGTGTAAAATATTTAGATCTACTACGAAAGAAAAATATAAACATATCACAGAGTCATTTTCGCAAGATTTTTTTTTTCTTTGAACCATTTTGGATAAGCGTGAGTTAGTGAGAGAGTTACAATTTTACATCGCATCGGCAATATTGCAGCCATATTACGATGAAAACAAGTTAATTATTATTAAATACCTGTCGACAAAGGACAGTAAAACAGTAAGTCATGTATCACAAACAAACCAGTTCACAATAAAAAAAAAAGAATTCTTCAGTAGATTAGCTAGCAAGATAAAACTAGGCTATATACCTCTGGCATCCAAAGCTAGACCACCTAACTGGGGATCATGGGGAATTATAGTCCTGCACCATGACCGTGGAATTTATTTATTTTATGAAAAAATAATAATCTAGAAATGCATACAAACGCAAGTCTAGCCAGCTCAAGCTAGCTCTATCAGCATAGGGAATTTTTTTATTTTTAGAGTCAAGAAGGATATTGTGTAATATAAGATTTCAGAGACTAAATGTTAGTCTAGGGGAATTACAGTGCTTTCGCTTCCTGCATGATTCCCAGCAGGATTTGTGTCATCACGTTGGTCACCATTGGTCATCTTCAATGCTAACCAATATTAAAAGATCAAACCATAGTCAAGTAATTAAAACACTAGTTGATATTATACACTTTTATTTAGATGGACTTGCGTGCCATAGTCAGGAGGACAATACTTTAATACTACTTTAACCCCCTGAGTGGCACCGCCTTCAATAATATCAGTTGTTAAAAATATCACACTAATGTAAAACAATTCAAAAATGGATTAGATCAGCAGTGTGGCTTGGTTATAACAAGCTGTGAAAATGTAAAACAAATATTTCCTTTCATTTGGCCTTTTGTGTTCATGACCCAATGACATCGCACATTTCACTGATGCTCGTAAACCTTGTTTGCTTGATGGATCACTCGAGTGTTCGACACGCGGTGATATCGTCTGTATGATTTATATATGATGCCAGCAAAGGAATACTTCAAGGGCGATATAGGTTACATGTTATCAAGTACAGTATGAGTCTGTCACAGTGATAAGCGTTGTTTGTATTAGACGTGCAACGAAATATTGAATTATGGAGGCATTGTTATGGACCGATGACGTGGGAGGAAATCCTAAAGTGAAGAATGTTTTATATATTTACCACTTTGTTGTGGTGATAAATCAAATCATAATCCGGGCACATCTAGGATTCGAACCCACCATCATATGATTAGAGACATGGCTCTGCGCATCGAATTGCTACACCTTATACGAATGGGCCACCCGATGCCCTTCAGGTACCTGAAAGCATATAACAGAACAGAACAGAATTTATTACGTATAGTCTGGTCATGAGGCAAATAGTACAGAGGTTTGAATAATATTTGATAAATAAGTTTAAACATTTTAACATTATAAAGAGTTAGCTGAAATAAAATGTTGTCGTCATTTGTTGTGAGTGACAATACTTGTGCAGGGTAGGATATTGATAATAATACGAAGGCAAGTACATGTACCTTAACCTTAAATTAGTATAAGCTGGACACATAAATAGTGCATGGTATTCATCATCTAAGTCTTCTTTACAGAAATTGCATAGACTGTCAGCAAAGTCATGGTCACTAGGCATTCTATATTTATGAATTTTAAAATCATTTGAACAACATCTTAATTTTGTTCAAGATCGCATAAATTTACAGTGGTAATCGATGATAGATATTTGTCAGATTGCAGTAAAGATTTGTAAGTGCAATATAAATCTAGCCTTGGTGAATTAGATATACAATCTGACCATTCTTGCATAAACAAATCTCTTGTTCTTTCCTTAAATGTATAAATAAAAACATCAGAGCCTCCGACATCTTGCATCAACCATACATTACCAAAACCGTAACTAAACAATGTATATCTTACAAATTAAACCCAATTTTTATAACCTAATTCATCATATTTACATAGCATAAAATAGCAATGATTTGGATATTTACCCAGAGGCATTCTTAATAGCTTAATCCATTATTTAATTATTCTCACAACACCATGTTCATACATTCTCGTCCTTCCAAGTTCACCTAACACAGCAGCATTTGAAGATTTTCAAAGTATATTTACAAAATTTAGTATGTATAAGTTCAATGCTTTTTCTAACTTCTGTACACCATATTTCCGCACCATATAGCAAAATGGGTAAAATTTTACAATCAAATATTTTAAAGTATGTATCAACGTTTACGTCTGGATATTTGACCATCATTCTTTTTATTGGTATTAGAGCCTCGTTTGCCTGTGCAGCTAAAAGAACCACATGCTTG